GGCAGGCCTTAGTCTGGCAAAGGTATCTTTACATGTGATGCTCTGTCAAGAGCCATCCATAAACTATGCATGGACCAGATCAATTTGCATGAAAGCCATTGAGTGAGAAAATCTGGTATTGGGAACTCACAGTGGTGAGATGGTCCAAATACATGTGAACTCCCACCCTTCTCTGCCAAAGGTCCCACACAGGTGCAGAGATGGGATGAACACTGAGCACCATCCAACAGACAGGATGCCAACATCTGCTCTGACGTTTGGGGATGTTCTTCTGTTTGAGGGAAAAACTACTGTTGTTTTTCCTATTTGTTTGCTCTTTTTTCCCACCCACATTTGTGGGTGTGCTATAGTTGTAGATAATTATGGAACTTGTTGTTACATATCTGTACATGCACACAATATAATTTGGCCATTATCACTTCTTAGTACTTCCCCTCCCTCCCAACTACCTGCCCCTTGGTCTCTTTCTTCTATCCATCTCTCCTTTATGAGATCTTTCCCATCTTCGTTTCCACATATGAGAGAAAACATAAAACCTTGACCTTCTGAATTTGATTTATTTTGCTTAAAATGATGGTCTCTAGTTCTATCCATTTTCCTGCAAATGACATAATTTCATTTTTCTTTATGGCTGAATAAAATTTCACTGTGTATATATACCTCTTTATCCATTCATTTGTTGATGGACACTGTAACTTAGTAGTTTACAAAAATCCATAAAGATAGAAGAATCTGAGATAGTGAATCTGTAAATTGGGCATGATACTACCTGATTGTCCCAGCCTGTGGCTCTTGGGGTTTACCTCTGGTGGAGGATGAATTCAGGAGCCTGTGGTGTGGGCTCTGTCATCAGGAAGCTGTTCACCTCCTCCAGCCACCACTTGTGCCTGGACCCTGCTCCAGGTACATGCTCTGGAGATTGCTGCTAAGTGGGATGGTAGAACCAGTAAGTAAAGAAATTTCACAACCTACTAGAGGGAGGAAGAAGCATGGTCCATATGTGGCACAACCATAGCCTCAAGTAGGGAAGACGACACTGCATCTGGTCCAGGCAGCCAAAGTCATGTGACCTAAGCTCACCTCCACCACCACCCCCAACTCCATCCCTGGCTTCAGCCTCTTTCTGAGGAAGGATCTGTCCCAATGTTGATCTGAATGTCCTTGCCAGGCTTCCAGTGAAAATAGAGCTCTGCTGACTTCGACAGCTTTGCCATTGTAGCCTCAGGCCACCCCCGTGCCAGACTGAGTCACGATCTGAGGCATGCATGTTCCCTCCCACAGTGAATTTTCATCCTCTCCCACGGGTAATCCCCCTAGAACCACTGGCTTGGAAGATCAGGTAGGATAGTACCTAATTTGTAGATTCACTATTTCACTTTGTGCTGATTACCTTTCTTTATGGATTTCTGAAAACTAAGAACAATCTCTCCATGCTGCATCTTTCAAAAAACTGAGAATTTTTGTATGTCTTCCTGCCCAAGTGGGTCTGTGAAAAGAGATATGGAAAGGCTTATGAAAGCCACAGCCTCAGACGTGATGCCAAGACCTGGTGGTAGGCTTGTCCCAATTGGTCAGTAAGGCCAGAAGTCCAAAGAATTAGTTGTATGTGGATTGGAGGAAATTTAGGAAAACCTGGGGCACACTAGGCACCTAAGCATTTTCTGTCTCACTGCCCTGACCTTTGGAGGGCACTGGCTTCCTCTTCTGCTCTACTTTAAGGTTAGGGTTAGGGCATGTCATCCAAGGATTCCTCAATTCTCTGGACACCTTTCTTCTAGTAGCTTTAAGCAGGTGAGCTTGCCACATGCCACTGCCCTGGGAGAAGCAGGAGCAGTCTGCCAACAACCTGGATTAGGGCACTGAGCAGTACTTCTCACCAAGAGAGAAAGAGGAGTACTGGATGCTCAGGATAAGTGTTCATGAAATGATATCTGAGTGGTCTGAGTTTTACAGTTTAGAAAATAAACAAAAAGGAGGTTACAGCAGACTAATGGTTACAATTGCATTGGGTGACAAGAGTGGCACAGATTGTTGATTTGGAAGTGGTCACCTGAGTTATACATGCCAGGTGAGAGTAGTGACAAGGAAGAAAATGTTTCACTAGGGTTATTACCTCTATGGTATCAGGGAGTCCAGTAAAACCTGTCAATGAAGAGTCAGAAAGAGCTAGATGACTGCAGTCTCCTGCCTTGTGCCCGCTTCCCACTTCCACTGGAGATTTTTTTACTTCATGTGTGATGGCAAAACCAGGTCTGGTTGTAAAATGATCTTATGAAAAACTGGTGCCAGGGGAAAGGATTAGCTCCCCTCCCCTTTTGTCAGCCCTTCTTCAAGAAACCTAATTAACCATAGGTCCCTAACTTTTGGATTATAAATAGGGGTCTACTTCCCTTTGAAGTATAAATACCCCTTTTCCAGGCTTCAGACACAAGAATACAGACCAGTGAGAAGAGCCAGTTTTTCCCCTTTCAGCACTCTGGCTTTTCACTAGAAAGCCAGCACAAGGCCTTCTATCTCATAGACTATCAATTTTATGACACCAGATAGCCTATAAATGGTGTGACAAACTGGGAATGGGGGTTCAGAATTTGATCTCCTGTGGACCCACTGGTATAAAATAAACTTTGAGTTCTCCCATTCTCTGAGTGCTGTTTGTAGCTTCTTGACCTGTCTGCTTCCTGCAACACCTTTGTGACATTTTGAATCTTTTCTCAAGGACAGCCAGTCATCAGTACCTCTGCATTAGGTGAGGCATATATTTGTATAAATCAAAATTCTATAATCAATTCCTTATACTAATCCTGTCTTGTCTCTGTTCTCCTCACCCAATTCAAACTGATACACAGGTGAACCACAACCACTACTGCCACCACGTCTACCCATTTATTATTCTTGAGAATATGGAACTGTGAGAAATAAATCTGCTTCTAATGTAGAATCCCATCAGTGGGGTTTAGAGTTGTTATTATTGTCATTATATTCAATTCCATAAAGATACTCTGGGAAGCAACTCAATTTCTTTGCCTATCTGGAGGCCAGGAAAGATAGGTACCAACATAGTTGCATAAGGAGTAAATAATTGAGTGTAAACCATGTTAATTATTCTTAAGGAAATTTCTGGATTGTGATATTATTTAACCTTGGGGAAAAGGATTTTAAGGAAAATAATTGGTATTATTTTGTTCATAACAACCAATTAAACAGCAACACAGAGCAAACTTCAGTTGAAATCTGGATGACACTTAGGGAAAACTTAAATGTAGTGTTTTGTTACTCTAGCCTGTACAAAAACATTATTTAATACCAGACTTCAGCCACCTATATTCACAGACCCCAAGGGACTGATAACTCTTTGTTGTGGTCTAGGTTTTTGTATATTTTATCTCTGTTCCTCCTTTTTTTTGTACCAGAGATTGAACCCAGGGTGCTTAACCATTGAGCAACATCTCCAGCCCATTTTATTTTGCAACAAGGTCTTGCTGAGTTGCTGAGGCTGGCCTTGAACTTGTGATTTTCCGCCTCAGCCTCCCAAACTGCTGGGATTACAGGCATGTGACACTGTGCCTGGCTTTCCCACCTTGTTATTTGAGCCATCTCCTTCAGAATCAAATATATATATATTGTAGTGCTGTACATGGAACCCAGAGACTTGTGTATGTATGCTAGGAACATTCTCTACCACTGAGAAATGCCCCAGTTCCCCAAAGTCATGCAATTTTATGCAGAAAATATTTTCAAAATTATGTTAAATGGGATGGCACTCTCTGGGATTGTTTATCTGGTTTAGTCTAAATCAAATGTTGTGGAGGTCTGGAGTCATTTCAGGATCTTTCACTGTTTTCAGTGGCCTAAATATTTTGTTTAGTTCTTTTGTATCTTTTGGTTCTGAAGAAATTCAACACACCTGGCACTATACTATAGACATTTACTAAAAGGATTCAGGTAATATTTCTTAATATGTTTACAACATAAAAATTTCTTTTGTTCTGTACACTAGGCTTAAATGTCATAAGAAGAAACTTCATCCAGGAAGAACTTCTAAAACAAGACATTCATTGTATTACTCTTAAATTTTATTAATGTCTTCAGTTTGTGCATCATTTACAATGAGACATGTACATCAAAAAGCATTCTCATACATAAATAGACCAAAAAACAAATTTAAGTAATCAATCTCTAAAACATGCCCATCAATTTTGTTCAGGTGTGTATGAGAAAGGGAAATAAGTTTTAAGCCTTTTTCTTTGGATCAAAAGCATCTGGAAATTATTCAGGAATGCCAAATGTTTTTCTGAAACAAATGTATTTTTCAAAAGGAAATGGTGATGCAATTAAAAGGAATTAGTGTTAATAAAGACTGGAAAAACATTTGTGGTGTGCATGATCAACAAGAAAATAGATGCAGTGAACCTAAGGTACATGTCAAATAAATGAATTAGGTAGCATGAATTGAATGGTACAGATGGAATAAAACTTACCATGAGGGACTCATATATATTCAAGGCACATGACTAGGCTAAACAGGTGGCTAAATTCTATAGACTAATTTGTTCTTTCATTAGGAAAGGAGAAAAGTAAAATATAACTTCATTTAATGGCACTTATTTATATATAAATGCAGTTAGATCTGGGTTAGCAAATGGCTTCCTTTCAGATACACACCAACCATGAGATAACAGATGTCAGAGTAGCTGAAGCAGTATGATTACATCCCAATTTTTGTACAATGCAGTAAATGGATGTTAAACTGCTATGTGTTGTGTCTATACATCATACTGTCTATATTCAGGTTTCACAAAAGAATTCTTCAACATTAGGCAGATTAAAGGATTTAGTAAACCATAAAGGATGCTCAAACTATTACTCAACAAGAGTCAATTCCAAACTCTGGAGTTGAATGCTGACTGTATTCAGTTTGGGCTTTTCTCAGAATGGAAAAAACTTCCCAAACTACCCCACTTTCTATACCTACTATGGTTCCCTTGTTTTTCTTTGGTGAGTCACAGGAATTTGCCTCCCACCCCTCCATTACCCATTCTATTAACAATAGGATTGCTGTATAATATTCAAAGAAAAGGAATATATAAAAACAATAAGCTTTAACAATATTTAAACCATAATCTTCTCCAATTGACTACAATGGGAAAACAGAAGATAATAAGCTAATCACTATATTGTAAATGATTAGTGCCCTTAATTTTATTCCTGAAAGTGAATACTAGGAGGACAAGAATAATCTGTGTGCTTCTGGTAGGCTAGCAAAATGTTCCCCATCTGAATGAAATAAATATGTATAATACTTTACCCATCTGGGCTCCTGAAAATAAGCAGCACCGACAATTTAATTACAATTCCCCAAATAACGACTATTCTTCATTTATATTGTTTTGAAGCACCTAAAACTCTTCAATAACAAAATACATTAAGATGAATGGTAAGCAATATTATTTGTCTCTTGAATACTTTTACGTGCACATACAAAGCTCCTCTATAGTTTTAGTAGACATCTCTTAAGATGGGTGGTATCCACCTTGGCAATAGCTTTGTGCAATTAAAACCAAAAATGTTTTTCAAAGTAGGTAACACTAGTTAACAAACCAAAGAAACAAACCAAAGCATTTTTAAGGCTACTGCTGTAATGACTGGTTCGATCTGAAGTTCTTTGGAATAAAGGTTGATAGGACAAAGATAAATCTGGAGACATAGACTAAGATTAAAAAAAGAATCAATGAAAAGAGGGCTGAAGAGACTGGCAGACACTTTCTGCCAGTAATGAAAGGCTTGGGTCACATGGAATATTTTTAACTCCTTTTTCTCTTGTATCCTTGGTCAATGATAATTTTTTCTTTCTTATTTCTTCACACAGCTTGGCCATGTAAATCCACCACAGAGAGGTGACACAATAATATAGATGAACACCTGGAAGAGCAAGGCAATTTTATTTTCTTGAATCTATCATATATGCCTAAATAATATATAAGGGATAGTAAAGCTCTTTTAAAGAGACATTTCTGATTCCATTATAGTAGTGGTTATGTACGAATATGACAAATTAACAAATTATTTTCAAAGACAGGAGAAAGTTACAATTATCCTTTCTGATATAACTTGTCCACTTGATTTCACTATGCTTTCTTCAGTGACAGAAAAAACATGGGGGGTTGTTGATCTTCATTGGTAACTAGGGAGAATCAAGGCTATGTGAGTAGCCCTTACTGATGCATCATTAATGCATTATAAAAATCACAACCACTATTTCCTTGAAGTATGAGTTTACTATTGATTATATTTTTAGATTTTATATATGAATTTGATTTTTTATTATTAGGATAAGAATATATGAAAAAGCATAAGTAATAAACAATATATTTCATGCCTCAACTATATAAACTGAACAAAATTATTGTTATGAACGTTTCAGTGGATAATGACATAATAATTATGATTACCAAATCAAAGAAAAGTTAATGGTGAAACACTGCAAAATTCTGGCTCTATTATGAATATGTTAGCTTTTAATTCTAGTATTATAATTTTAAAATTATATCCTAAAATAATATCTATTTGCTTACATTATTGCATTCTAAACTGTAGACTTATTTTATACATTAGATTCACTGAATTAAACTTAGTCATTTTATTTTGCTTTACAACTTTTTTTCAGATATTTAAGGAACTAATATCACTACTCATATACTAGGAAAAAATGCATTTAGTAATGTCTAATTCTCCAAAAGTGAGCAAAGCATTTTGCCTTCCCTATATAATATTGGTGTGGAGGGGTTAGTTACATAACATTCCAGTTATTAATGGATAGGTTAAACTACACATACATACACACATACATAATACATATTCTACAAAAATTTCTCTCAGAAAACATACATTTAAATTTGATGTAAAGTTGACCATTTGCCACAGCAAATTATAAGGAATTATAAAGCTGAGGCACAGTATGTTAGATGACAATATCTTTTTACTAAATATTGATAATGCATTTACAGTACTGGCTCTGCATGCAAGAAATAATCAATAAATATAATCTTAACATTTAATAATTTGCCTGCATAAATCAATCTAAATTCCCAAGGGAATAAGGAAGACTCAGGATCCTACAATGTGCTACCTGAGGATACCGAGCAAAAAGGAAAAACAACTGCAACCATCTCTAATATAAAATGTATAAAATTATGACTCCTCTTTTTTTGAATCTTTTTTGTAGTTATAGATGGAGAGAAAGCCTTTTATTGTTTGTTTATTTTTATGTGGTGCTGAGGCTTGAACCCAGTGCCTCACACATGCTAGGCAAGCACTCTACCACTGAGCCACAACCCAGACCCCTCCTTTCTTTTATTTAAAAAAATACATTTTTTAGTTGTAGATGGGCACAGTATCTTTATTTTATTTATTTTTACATGGTGCTGAGGATCAAACCCAGTACTTCACATGTCCAAGGCAAGCACTCCACCACTGAACCACAACCCCAGCCCTCCTCTTTTCTCTTAAATAGATCTAACTGGCTAAGGTGCAGAAACCTTAAGTAGAGGTATCAAGGAGAAGTAAAGCAGAGTTGAAGACACCTGCTCACAGATAACTTTGGGCTTCTGAAAGTAACTAGAGGACAGGGAGAAAAGGCAGGTTTTTTGTTTGTTTTGGTACTAAGGATTGAACCCAGGGGCACTTAACCACTGAACCACATCCCCAGACCTTTTTTATATTTTATTTAGAAATAGGTTCTCACTGGGTTGCTTAGGGCCTGGCTAAATTGCTGAGGCTGGCTTTGAGCTCATGATCCTCCTGCCCCAGCTTCCCAAGCCAAGGAAAGGCCTAGCCACGAAATAGCCCAGGGTAAAGCTCCCCTCCCTTCAGCAGTGTCTCAATTGTTTTTATTCAGTACCTCTACATTTGTTGGGTAGGGGAGGGTGCTGGGAATTGAACCCAGAGCCTCATACATGCTAGGAAACTATTCTGTTACTGAGCTATGCCCCCAGCTCCTCTTTACAATTTCAAACATTACTGAGGATGACAAAGAACTTTTGTTTAGAGAGATTACAAATATCAACATTTATGTTACTATAAATTAAAATTTTAAACATGCATATTTAGTTTCAAAATAGTCAAAAGGTGGGGCTGGAGTTGTGGCTCAGTGGTAGAGTGCTTGCCTGGCATGTGTGAGGCACTGGGTTTGATCTTCAGCACCACATATAAATAAAATAAAATAAAATAAAATAAAATAAAAGATCCATTTACAACTAAAAAAATCTTTTTAAAAAACAGTTAAAAGGCCAAATGTTCTCTCTGATAAGTGGATGCTGGTCCATAATGGGGGCAGCCAAGGGAAGAATGGAGGAACTTTGGATTGGGCAGAAGGGAGTGAGGAGAGGGGTTATGGGGGGGAGATGGTGGAATGAGATGGACATTATTACCCTATGTATGTGTAAGACTGCACTAATGGTATGACTCTGAATCTTGTACAACCAGAGATATGAAATGTTGTGTTCCATTTGGGTACAATGAGTCATAATGTATTCTGTTCTCAGGTATAACTAATTACAACAAATAAAAAAATAGTGACAATAAACCTCTTAATATAAACAGTAATAATATTTCTATAAAATATATTAACCAGGCATGGTAGCACATGACTGTTAGTGCCAGCACCTGGAAAGCTGAGGAAGGAGAACTGCTTGAGCCTAGAAGTTCAGGACCAGCCTGGGAAGCATAGTAAGACCTGGTCTTAAAAAAAAAAACAAATGATTACATTTCTGTGAGGTCAGTTTTATATTACATACAGAATTCTCAATAGGAAAGAGGGGTTTGAGAAAATATTTCATATTGATTTTATGGGAAATCCACCTTCTAGTGGTCATGTGTTTCACCATTAAAAATGTAGTTCATTTCAGAATATTAATCATTGACAAGGAATTCCAGCACCTAATTCCTTAGAGGCTGAAAACTAAAACCATACATTAAAAGGACAAAAACTTACAATTGATACAATGATAATGATGATTAATGAATAGCTTGATGTTCTTCATACATATAGCTCGTGCAAGATTTCTGCTGGTAGTTTTGAAGGTGACAGACTAGGAAAAAAGCATATTATTTAAACCTTGGCACTGACTGCATCAATAATATGTAGTAACACCGTACAAATATTTTATTTTCATTAAATGTATTTTAAGTTCTAATGTCCTTTAACCCTCCCCTCCCTTTACAAGATGAGAGTGGCTATTCATGATTACTAGTTTCCAGGAGCAGAACTCTACCAGACCTATGATAAGCAGGCCTATAACTACAGAGGCTTCATCTTTTTTCTTCCCACTGCAGCAATGTACATGATATTGAGCACCAGAAGTAGTTCTTTCCATCTAGCAGAAAAGCTTGTTCCTCTTTAGGTTTCCAAATAGAAAGGCTCCTTCTAAGCCAGTTGGCTGCAAGCATGTTGGCACATTCTGCCCACTATACTCTTGGGACTCTGACCCATAAAAATCTGTTTGATCTGCATAGGAAAATGTATTTATTTGTATGAGGGCCAAAACCCATAGAACTCCATTCCTTTGGTTATCCATTTTTGTTTGCATCATCAATTTCTCAATATCTACTGAACCATTCCCACCAGGACACAAGCAGGGGCTAGAGTTGTGGCTCAGTGGTAGAGCGCTTGCCTAGCACGTGTGAGGCACTGGGTTTGATCCTCAGCACCACATAAAAATAAATAAATAAAATAAAGGTATTGTGTCCATCTACAACTAAAAAATAAATATTAAAAAAGACTCCCTAATAGCCCAAGAATTCCACTCTTGGGTACATACTGAACAGAAATGTACGTGCAACACCGAGAGCCACATGCAAAAATATTTCTAACAACACTACTTTTCACAAGTTAGAAACTACCCAAATGCCCATCAAATGACCAATTCGTAAATAAATTGAATAAAATTTTATAAATTTATATAATGCATAAAAATGTATATATAAATGTATATATACAGTGCATAAACTATAAAAATTTAAAAACATATAATTGCATAAAATGCATAATGGAATATACCATGTAGTGATTGAAATTAAAGTCCACCACTATATTTATGTAATTAACAATGTAAACATCATGAATGAATCTCAAAAACGTGATTTTTAACATCAGAAGAGTGTTGACCCTTGGAGGGGAGTAGTGACTATGAGGACAGAGGGAACTTAATCTGGGCATTGGTTCCATAGGTATATTCACTTTGTGAAAATACAACAAGGGGTACACTATGGTTGATGTCCTTTTTTACTTATAAACTACACTTCAATAAATTGTTTTCTAAAAATCCACTTTCTTGACCATACATTCATGCCCATCCACCTTCTCTACAAGTCTCTCTAGTAGAGCAGGTGAGAGGGGCACCAGCCCTCAGGTTTCACTTAATGCAGAATAATAAGATGACACGTGGAAGGACAGACCCAACAGCTAAGGGAGCATATGCTACATATACAAACAGATCACATCTAGCCCTAAATATACACATTGAATAGAATATATGCATCGACTTGGATACATGAGAAGAATCTACAAAGGAAACAAAGCCAAGCAATCAGAGTAAATGGGCCTCAATGGAAAAAAACTTAATGTAGAAAAGAGAGAATGATAGTAATAAAAATTTATAAGAAGCATCTTCATATATAAAACATCATTACATTGATTTAAGAGTTCATAAGTTAGGGAAGACAAAAAGGGAAAAATTTGATGGTATAATAGTCTAAGATATACATTTTAATAAATATGCATAGTTTTAGAAAATTATAAATAGCAGAAAATAAATGGCTAAAAGCCATTTTTGTGGCAACAACTTGAAAAATTGTCTCAGAACACATAATAAAATGTGTATGATATAAATTATGAAAGATGTAAGTAAGATACCCAGAAAACTGATCAAGCAAATTCAGGATCCATTTACATAAGCAACAGATATTTAACAAGTGCTTACTATCTTCCTGGTACTTTTAGGTACCTACTAGCAGGTGCAGAATGAGCCAATATAGACAAAAGAGAAGAATCAATAATCAAAGAACCACCAGAAGGAAGTCCCCAAACTAAGAATGACTTGAATCTTTTGACATAACAAGTCAGGTATGTGGCAAGAATACTGAAAGAAGGCACATACTTTCCATCTCCCAGTAACGTTTCAGAACTCCAAGCTTTTATGTTTTACTTTTTATTTTTTCTGCTTTGAGATATAATTGATAGTTAAAAATTACAGATATTCAAGGTATAATACGTGATGTTTTCATATATGTGTACATTGGGAAATGACTGCCACAATCATGCTATATAACATCCATCACCTCACAGTTACATTTTACATGTGTTCTGAGAATGCTTAAGATCTGCTATTGGGGCTGGGGATGTGGCTCAAGCGGTAGCGCGCTTGCCTGGCATGCGTGCAGCCCGGATTCGATCCTCAGCACCACATACAAACAAAGATGTTGTGTCCGCCGAAAACTAAAAAATAAATATTAAAAAAATTCTCTCTCTCTCCCCCCCTCTCTCTCTAAAAAAAAAAGATCTGCTCTCATGGCATATTTGAAATATTCAATAATAAAAATATTACTATTATTTTTTGAGTACCGGGGATTGAACTCTGGGGCACTCAACCACTGAGCCACATCCTCAGCCCTATTTTGAATTTTATTTAGAGACAGGGTCTCACTGAGTTGCTTAGTGTCTTGCTTTTGCTGAGTCTGGCTTTGAACTCATGATCTTGCTGCCTCAGCCTCTGGAGCTGCTGGGATTACAGGCATGCGCCACTGAGACCAGCTCAATATCTTATTAACTATAGTCACTATGTTGTACATTAGGTCTCCAGAATTTATTCATCTTATAACTGCAAGTCCATACAGTTTGACCAATATCTTTCCATTTTCCCTCTTCCCCCAGCTCCCTGGGAACCAGTATTCTATGCTCTGCTTCTATGTATCCAACATTTTAGCATTCTTATTTAAATTATTTCATTTAGTATATCTCTAGATTTATCCATGTTGCTGCAAATGGCAGGATCACCTTTGTCTTTATGGCTGAATAACATTCCAATGTGTGTGTGTGTTTGTGTATCACCATTTCTTTATCCATTCATCCACTGGAAGACACTTATCGACTGTTTCCATATTTCGGCTATTATGAATAATGCTGCAATGAACATGGGTGGAAAGATCTTTTTATTTTTAGTTGGAGATGAACACAATACCTTTATTTTATTTATTTATGTGGTGCTAAGGATCAAACTCAGTGCCTCACATGTGCAAGGCAAGTGCTGAGCTACTACTATTGAGCAACTACCCCAGCCCACAAAGATATTTCTTTGAGGTATTGGTTTTATTTCTTTTGGGTGTAAGACATGCTAAAGACCAATTGCTGGATCATATGGTGGTTCTTGTTTTAGTATTTTGAGACCCTCCATAATGTTTTCCATATTGGTTATATCAATTTACATTCCTATCAACAGTGTGCAAAGGTTCCTTTTTCTCCAAACCCTCACCAACGCTTGTCCTCTCATCTTTTTGAAAACAGTCAACCCAATTGTATAAGGTGATATCTCCCTATGGTTTTGATTTGTATTTCCCTGATGATTAGTGATGTTGAACTTCTTTTCATATACCTGTTGGCCATGCATGTCTTCTTTAAACAGATGTCTACTAGGACCATTGACAATTTTTTAAGTAGGTTATTTTTTGTTTGCTATTTGAGTAGTGTAAGTTTCTAATAAATTTTGAATACTAACCTGTTACATCAGGTGTATGGTTTATAAATATTTCATTCCAATATGTAGGTTGCTTTTTCTTTCTTTTTTTTTTAGCACATATCAAACTTTTATTTAATCAGAAGGCAAACAAAACCAGTGTGAGAACATCAGACTGATGTGTATGGCAAGTAAAACAGTAAGTAAAATTAGAAAGTAGATTGTTAAAYCATATGCTAATCAGGTTAATGCCCCTACATGACATTGAACCAAAACCTTCAGAGTTAGYTTTTTTTTCCTGACAGAAGYCATTTGTAGTTATCAATTTCTACAAGTTAAACATCTGATGTCATAGACATTAGACCCTAATTRACAGTGAATGACACCAGTCCAGGGTTCCATTCTCTAGTCAGGTGGCCCTGTGGTAGACTTATTTACATGATATTGAAAGATAGCAGAATCATCATTTTTGCCTGTTCTCCAAATTTCTGGCAATGCTTTTTCTTTTTGTTGACTGCTTTTTTTTACTATGTTGAGACTTCTTAGTTTGATGTAGTTCCATTTGTTTATTTTTGCTTTTGTTGCCTGAGTTTTTGGATTCATATGCAAAAAAAAAAAAATCATTGCCTAAAACAATAAGATGCTTTCCCTTCGTTTTCTTCCAGGAGTTTATGATTTCAGGTCTTATGTTTTTAATTCTTTAATCTATTTTAAATTGATTTGTGTATGGTGTAAGATAAGAGTCCAATTTCATTCTTTTGTACGTGAATATCAAGTTTCCCAATATCTGAAGAGACCGTCCTTTCCCTCTGCATGTTCATGGCATCCTTGTCAAATATTATCAGTAAATATGCATGAGTTTATTTCTGGGCTTTCTATTCTGCACCATTGCTCTATATGTCTTTTCATGCCAGAACTAAACTGTGGGTTACTATAGCTTTGTAATATAATTCGAAACCACTAAAGTGTGAAGCCTCTGACTTTTTTTCCTTTCTCAAGAATGTTCTAGCTATTTGGGATGTTTTGAACTTTCATATAAATTTTAGAATTGTTTCTCTATTCTGTGAAAAATGCCACTGGAACTTTGATAGGTATTGTATTGAACATGTATGTTGCTTTGGGCAATATGGGCATTTTAGCAATATTGATTCTTCAATTTGTGAATATAGCATATCTTTCCATTTATTTGTGTTTTCTTTGATTTCTTTAATCAATGTTTTATAGTTTTCAGTGTATTGATATTTATCTTCCTTGGTTACATGTATTTCTAAGTATTTTATCCTTTTTGATACTATCAAAAATGAGACTGATTTCTTGATTTCCTTTTATAATATATAGTTATCTAGACAGTAACAATATGA